GCAGCCTCCTTAAGGCAATGGGGTCTAGATTCGGAGCGCTCGCCGAAGGGGAGTACGACAAAATAGCGCCCGTGATTGCCTGCACGCTGCCCGCACTCACGGACACCATAACCGAAAGAAAGAGAGGGGAGCTCGCGGGAGAGGTGACGAGTGAACTACAGGTAGTGGGGAAGGCAGCCTCGATGGCCATACAGACATGGGTGCGAAACAACGACAAGACCAAGGCACGGGCAGAGGAACGAGAGAAGAATATAGAGTGGATAAAGCGCCTGTTCACGGCATGGAGGGTAAGCCACGCCGAACGCAAGGAAGCCGGGGAAGACGACCCCGAGGAGGACGAAACAAAAGTGGAAATCCCGCCGTCAGCTGTCACAATATACCCGAAGGGAACCCCAGTGCCAACACCGACCATTGAGGTACAAGTGCTCGAAACGAGAGTGGACCTGAGCAACGACATGACAGGGCGGGATATGCTCGCAGTGGGAGTCAGAAATGTGGTCCTTGCGCGAGGAATGCTCGATAAACTCGAGGGACCAAAATACGCGGAGAGGAGAGCGGAGTTACGCAGAAAGGCGAGAGAAGCAGCGAGAGCAAGAGATCGGCAGACGACAGCGGCGTCTCAGAACGAGGCCGAGGAGAGCGATGAGTCAGGGGAAGAGACAGCAGGAGAGAGAACGACGAGAGTGAGAAGAATGCGAGGTGGCATGAAGGTCGCTGCAAGAATTGGTGATAAACTGCGGAGAGAGATAGGAAGTGGTAGACGCCCGAGGGTGGGCGACGGCTAACACCACACTTCTCCCCTAAAATCCCTGTGTGGTGGCGGCGTACCGTCCTCCCATCCCTCCCTTGGGTTGCCTGTCTTCTTTCTTTCTTTATGGGAGGAGCCCCACCTTCACCCATACCGTGATTTCTTTTTTAGTTTCCCATAAGTAGGGGAGGTAGGTAGGTAGGTAGGTAGGGGCACCGCAGGGGCCGGTCAGGTTTTTCCAGAATTTCAGCTTGCTGGCCGCCCCAAGCAAAAAGAATACCCACCTCGCTGGCTCGGTTGTCGTGCTGCGGCCAAGAGATGATCCTGGCTGCGATCAGCAGCAGCCTCTGTCGTCCCGCGCTGCACGCGCGTGCACGGCCGCTATGCTGCGAGGCACACGACGTGCAGCAGGCGCTTGCCGCCGTGCGTCGGCGGCTCGCGGCGGCGGCTGGCGAGGGCGAGGAGCCTCGTCTCGTCGCAGTCTCGAAGACCAAGCCGGTCGAGGCGTTACGCGAAGCGTATGACGCGGGAGTGCGCGACTT